CTAAAAAATTACATATTTGTTAAAACAAAGAAGACTGGTGGAAGTACAGTCGCATGTATATTGTACCGATTTGGTTTGAAGAATGAACTAGTTGCTGCTCTACCAAAACAAAATGGGCAGATAGACATTGAGCAAGACAATTTTACAGTGGATGCAGTCACATACCCCCAATCTTCGTTTCCTGGATACAATTACATGGCGAGTCACATCGGACATTACAACCACACAGTACTTAACAGTTTTATACCGAACTCCAAATTCATAACCATATTACGATCACCTTACTCTCAGATGGAGTCTGCGTTTTATTACAGCAATAGTGACTACCGACATAAACTTCAACTGTTAAGTGATCCTTTTGCCGAATTTGTTCTTAATTATTCAAGACGTTATGACCACTTTAAATATATGCTAACACAAGGACCATTTGGACAGCTCACAATGCTAGGGTATGACTGGAAAAAGTCAAAAGATCAGCTTTTAAGTATCGAGAAGAAGATAGAAGATCTTAACAGAGAAATAGATTTAGTAATGATTACCGAGTATATGGAAGAATCGTTATTGTTACTGAAAAAAATGATGTGCTGGACATTTGATGATATCGTGTATTATTCGTGCAAGGTACGAACCCGGGGTGGACGGTCACCATTGAGTCAGCCCGTCAAGAAAATTATCGCTGAATGGAACCCAGGAGATATTAAACTGTATGAATATTTTAATCAAACATTTTGGCAGCAAATAGATAATTATGACGGTCATTTCAGCGACGATTTGCGTTTATTCCGTGCAAAACAAAATGAAATTACGAGGAATTGTTTGAAAGTGTCAAATACATTTTGTAAACGTCTGAGCATGGATGTCAAAGATTACAGAGTCATAGTCAATATGAAACAACATAATTTATTTTGTGAAAAATGACTGTTTATAACAAAATACATCCATGTATTTCGTTTTCACACTGCAACTTAGAATGAACATGCTTGATTCAAAGTATAACGATATTCACAATACACGCTTGACACATATTGATGTATAAAGGAAAACGACTGTGTAGATGACCATAGATGCATGTAAATATATACCCTTTAGTTTATTGATATCCTCTCGAATCATGCTTTATAATAGTTTTATGTTATTTCTATGTTCTTTGTTTGTGCATTTGTGAAACGCCAATACATGTGTACATGTGGGTTTAGCTTAGTTTATTGGCCATGAAAAACAACGATAGGAAAAATGGAGACAGGGACACGAAGATTAAACCCCTCATAAACGCCATATCGAAGTCTATACCTGGGATATCCTACATTGTTGCAAAGAGCAACTGATTTCCAGTAGGTTCCTAACACCACACACCCCGGAAACACCAAAATACACAACATTTAGAAAAATAGAGGAGGTGGATTAGTTTCAGTTAAAATAAATAACATTGTTACACTCATGTGAACTTTCAATTATTATTATCCTATCGCATCTTTTGGTTTTGAAAAGTATTTTTTCCTGATTAGTAGGAATTTGAAAAACGCGTTTCACAACTTGCTACTTTATTTAGTTTCATACCGTATTCAAGATGGCGGCCACATATAGTAAATAACGCATTTATTTTATTATCACTTATGCGCCAGCTGACTGTGGCCACTTGTGCCAGTGAAAATAATCCCCCATTGCAAACCAGTGAATATTGTTATTTTAAATCATAATTCACAGATGACAACACTATTGAGAGAAACTGAAGCACGATTTCTGCACTGAGCTGCCTGCTTGTCAGCTGTATATTACACACGTATTATGTACAAAAGAGGTCGACAAATGATGTTATAACAATAACATTTGCAGACGGCTACATCCAAGTCAGACTAATATCATGTAATTCACATTTGATCAAATATGGCTGACTGGCTAAAATTTGTTAAATCCCGGCACTTAAACCTGTCAGAAACCGCTCCCCAATGATGGAAAGTACGATTTCATGTAAACAATGTATAATGATCATGTCCATTGACTTACAGAGACTCAAATGAAAATGGCCAATTGGCGGCCATTGTGTTATGTATGTCCATTCCAATTTCTCACTAACATCTTGCCTGATGCAGATATTACTTTGCACACAAGTACTTTACTTCAATACCGAAGGTTGTATTTTTTGTGATTTGATCGAATTTGTCGAGTTGATTTTTGTCTGAAACTATAAAAACGTGTTCTATACAAATGTTCAATCTTGTAGATTGACAGAATAATCCCATTCAAACTTTGTACCTAGAATATACATACTGGAATATAGGTGAATATATTTGTTTTCAAAGTCAAACAAAAATGATTGTGGCGATTTGTTTTTACATCAAAAGTAGTATATCATTTGATTCATTTGTAAATATATAGGTAATACTGAATGGTAGTTTGCGATTTGATAAAATAAAAAAAAAGTGTGTAAATGTGCACGCAACCGTTTCTTGCAGATGACAGGTATAAAGTTCATACTTTCAGGGTTACGTCGTATTTATTTTGAGATTCACACTGAAATATTCAACTGGCAATTATTTGGTTTATTTTAGTTTTTCAGTGTTTTCTCCATCTCCCTTTTCTGCATATGATAGTTGCACTACTCCTGGCGACAGTGGTGATTGTCAGTGGTAGAAGCTGTCATAGTGGTAGTATTGTTAACATGTGGTAGTCATGATAGTGGTAATATTGTCTGGGGTGTGAGCTAATAAAGCATGACCCTCCCTGGAATTAAAATTGGCCATAACAATGAACGACCCTGCCGACAATCCCCTGTCAATAAACGCTCGTTCCCAAATAGTACGTTATATACACGGCGCATTGATATTTATTTAATATACTTGTGACGTGCGAGTTATTGGTAAATAATTATAAATTATGTTATAAATTATTGATTTATTGGTAAATAATATAAATACTTATGCGTTCGGGGATGGTGTCTGATAAGCCGTAATAAAGTCAAAGTGTCTAAAACAATTAATAAACATTGTACTACATTATGATTGCTAAAAAAATACATAACTTGTCTTTATTTGTAAGATTATGTATTGCAACAATACAGTGGAAAAATGCAGAAAATAAAGCGAGTGAATATTTCTACACGTATAATAAATGCTTAACAAACTTCGCTACCTGTGAAAATCGGCAGAAAACAAGCATACATTATATTTCCGTAGTTCAACCTTCCTCCAAATGAATGAGAAATGTAATGGGGAAAAGTGTGCATAGCTCATTGACTGTCCGTGACGCAACGAAAATCAATAAATAAATCAGAGTCGGTTGACCATTATATCAATAGTGGGTCATCCCCAACTTGAATAAGTTGAATTTCAACGCAATTATCACAAGTCTGCATTCATTTCCAAACTATTTTTTCCACCTGCTGATTGCATGTAAAATAAAATAAAATAAAATGTGCATGTTCTGTTGTTTGATTTTTAGAAATGTGACTGCAAACAGGCAACTGACCTAACAGAGCAAAGTGTGACCGATTTGTAATTCCTTTGTGTCACAATGTCACAGAGTCGGGTCAAATAGTAACCTGGGATACGCGATAATATTCGAAAATGTATCATTTCGTAGTGGAAACTTAACCTATTTAAAATTACACATTTCGAGTAACACAATTATGTTGACTGATGAGCACTCATTTAGTAATATATAATTATATACATATAGAAATGCATACCGGCCAGTCTTGCATATATGACGCGACACATGAGCTACGGGATAACCATTGTTTATTAGGTACAGTGGGTGTGGTACCTCGTCTCTGGCAATATCGCCAGCCCCTGCAATAGTGCACCATGCCACAATTTAAAAACACAATTAGTAAAGAGTGAAGTGATGAGAACAGGCATTACACATCAAAGGAAGGATGGTGACAATAGGACGTGAGTGGGAGAGAGAGATCAACCAACATACATTTGTGAAAAATATAACAAAAATATCTATAGATTAACAAGCTTTCTATATTAGAATTGACAAGTTTAAGCGTTGAAAATCACCTTGGCAACTGTATCACATAGTTTCCATTGGAAATGTCGAGTTATGGTAGTACGGAGATTCGCTCACCAACATTTAGAGTCGCCCTATGAACATGGACATTCCTAACCAGTCAAAGTCCGGGCAGGAACACAGAAACACCGTGACGCAGTCGAACCGCAAGTAACGGTTATCACGTCACATTTTGTCAATCGTTATTTGTTAACAACAAATTTACATTCGTCACCTAGATACCCAATGAGGCACGTGGCATGACTTACTTTTGGATATTTCTATGTGTAGTATTAAATATGCTTGGACACAAATCGTACCGCTTAGTATTGGTACTATAAATAAATAAATAAATAAATAAATAAATAAATAAATAAACAAATAAATAAATAAATAAACAAATAAATAAATAAATAAACAAATAAATAAATAAATAAATAAATAAATAAATAAATAAATAAATAAATAAATAAATAAATAAATAAATAAATAAATAAATAAATCGTGGACCTCATCATTAAATCAGTTGTTGTATTTGAATATAAATATGTTGTATTAATATCACAAGATGTTACACTGGTTGTTAATTTGGATGAATTAGTGGGACACTTCAATGATACGTATTAGTTTACATAGTGGGTGAGGTGAAGTTTGAGATTGAAATTGTCAGTTGAGCAGTTCCATCCTGGGGCTGAACAGTCCCCTTGTAATCTCGTTATTGTGCACGCACTCATCGCGTGGTAACTGTAGCCGTGCATACTTCTAATCTAATTTGAATATAAACTACTAATGCATTGACCTTGTTAACTTATTGGAAACACTGAACACTAACATCTACTTCGGAAACCTAAGAGCATCGAAGAAACTGAATTTTAAAAATCTATGACATTTAACTAATACAGTTCTTGTTTGGTATGTATTATAACACCATAGTCAACATACACGTTGTAATAAAATATTTTTCGCGGTGAATATCTTGATACTAAACGAAACGTAACAGAACAATGTCACTTTCTACAAAATAAATCATGCTGTCTGTTTTTGACAATTTCTCTCGCAAATTTGTCGGCATCGATGCTCAAAAGTCTACAATATTCACTAGAGCTATTCAGACACTTCTTCGTAATTTCAATTTGCTTTTTTCGGAATAAACGCAAATCTTCTTCAAAATTACCGTCATAGTTTTCTATTTTTCGCCAAAATGTTTTGTTGAAGGAATCGTATAGTAACAGGTCGCCAGCGTTCCAGTTCGCGACAACTTCTTTTGTGCGTTGACTCAAAGGTACCCGTCCTCCCGGGGCTCTTACTTTGCACGAATGATACACGATATCATCAAATGTCCAGCACATCAGTTTTTTCAGTAACACTAAGGATTCGTCCATATACTCAGTAATCATTACTAAATCCATTTCTTTGTCAAGTTCCAGTATTTTCGTCTTAATATGATGATGATTTTGTTTGAGCTTCGCCCAGTTATAGCCTAACATACTGAGCTGGCCCCACTTTCCTGTTGTTATTGAATGCATCGTGAAGCGATACTTGATTTTAGAATAATTGTGAAGAAACTCGGCGAACGGATTGCTGAAATTTTCGAGTTTATGCTTGTAGTCAGCTCGTATGTAATAAAACGCAGATTCCATCTGAGTGTAAGGTGAACGCATTATAGTTATGAATTTGGAGTTTGGTATAAAACTGTTTAGTACTGTGTAGTTGTAATGTCCGATGTGACTCGCCATGTAATTGTATCCAGGAAACGAATTTGTACAGGGATATGTGACCGCATCCAGTGTATTCTTGTTTTGGTCAATGTTTATTTGTCCACTGCGTGTAGGTAGAGCGGCAATTAGTCGGTGCTTCAAACCAAACCGATACATTATACTTGAGACTGTGCTTCCTCCAGTTTTCGCAGTTTTAACAAATATGAAATTCAAGACAGGCGTACACACGTTACGGGTTTTGTTGGCAAAGGTGTGATTTTGTTTGTTTCGTCGGCGAACAAGGCCAGTATTTATCAATGAGTTTGGTAGTACGTAGTCTGCCCGTCTGTATAAAAGGAAACCATGTATATTATGTTGAGCAAGTCGAAGTTTGTAGTCAATAAAGTATTCCTGGACAATGAGTTACACATTGTTTTTTTGGCTAGCTCTATATTAGAGTTTGATTGAAATTTGTCCTTCATATATTTAAATCGAGTACAAATACATTATGAATTACAATTACGAGTCAATACATATTTATCTTGCTTACATTTTTATATTGATAAAATGATCCCCATATGCACAATATGTTCATCGGGGCTTGCGACTAATTCATACTTCCATACTGTCACATTGGTTTAGCTTATATAATACCTACATTACATAGAATAATGTTTCTCTTTCACTACGTAACTAAAGGTTTAACTTACTTGTTTGTTTCATAATGTGCCGGAGTAAAGTTTGGATGTGATAATTTCAACTCAAAGTCAATGCACGTATAGAATAATCCTAATCCGATTGCAGCAAGTGATAAGATTGAGAGGAATGTGTATATGTTGACAACGAATCCTGTACAACAAATCAACAAGACGACTTTAGAAATGTAGTCAGCAGTAACAAATAACTACGTACAATGTATCTACTATCGTTATTTGTGTTTCAAATGGTGTTACTCAAAGCAGTATTGAACCTGCACAGTTTCATTGACATTGAATGTTTAAACAATAGGCATACATTTGATAATGTGAATATTTCATTCCCGTGTTGACAAAGTTGACCCATCATGTGCCCATACATAATACATTTTATTTACAAGCTTTGATTATAACACAAATTGTGTTTTGTTTTGATTGAATCTGTGTGCTGTGTTGTTCAATAATCCTACTCTGTACCTATTGAGCATTGTTTTCACATTTACTCTGAATATGTTTTGCCAAATTCGTCGACCTAAATTTGTTTGGGTGTGCTGTCCTTGCATGTCATATCTACACTGCAAAATTGGTCTGCAATCATGATACTGAAAACTCGTTTCATGTTTATGTAAATCTACTGCATTATGGCTGACAAAGTTGTTGAAACCTGGGAAGCACGGTTATAACACGGTTATAATTAGTATTTGTGCCACTGGCTCATAATGTAAACTACTAATTTTGACAGAAGGTATTGTCGAAGTGAACTTACAGTTTGATGCACTGTGAGCAAGGAAAAATGAACATTTACCCTGTTCCGAACATGAACGCGTGTCTGAATGTTTTTCGTTTTGAAAATATATATTATCAACATACCTTCCATCTTCTCTATTTAGCTAGGCTCTGTATATCAATAACCTAATATTAAAAGATAAATTGATATATGACCAAAATGTTGACCTATGACGTATTTGGAGGGAAATTATATAACATAGCATTTAACAATATATTACACATATAGAAGTATTTCCATACGTTACGTACATGCGTTAAGTGGAACCTGAAATGAAAATATACCGTAATACCATGTCATGAAACAAATACAATACCCATAGTTTTTCAGTAGAATGAAATTCCCTCAGATGTTTTTTACCACCAATATAACGGATAGTATATGGTGTGATAGTCAGCCTAATGTAGTAGTGACATACACGTATATCTACTGTGATTATATATCGCTGACGGCCATTTGTGTGCTAACTGTCCTTTACTGCGGGTACACGTGTAACTGCGCATACATGTATCCACTTTGCATACCAAATATCTGTATTCATCACAAATCGGGGATTAGTTTGCAGTGCGCCATCTATAGTTCACAGTTAGCAAGTTATGGCATTAATGCACGTTAATAAAAAATTGTGACAATATGCGCTGAGATTATCTAATTAAGTATTTGTCATACCAAACGTACCATCTATAAATTGCACATTGTCAGCATCCTTTACTCTATGTTTTTTTTATTGCCTAAAACCCTGCAAAAAATATCCATGGAATCATGGGAAGAAACGGTGTGCATTGCCGTGTGATAACTTTCATAAAGGTAATTGACATACTTGTTACAGCTCTGGAAATTGGAATCTACTAGGTGTGCTTGTGATTTACATAACAAAGAATGTTTACGATCTACTAACTTGCTTACGTTGGTGTCTGATTCTGATTGTCTTTTGTGGAAACAAAGGAGTGAACCTGAATCTGAGCCAGTTATGCCCTATAAATAGGTTAGATTGAAGACAGTTATGGTCCACTATTTCAACTGAGTGCTCTGTGTGTTGCTACTGCGATAATGTGAGACAAGTGATACAGGCTTTATCATCATTCTGTGAGACTTGTATGAACTGCTCTACGATCTCCTGCTATCAGCGGTGCCCTCCAGAATAACAGTGTTCCTCTTCAAGCAAGAATCCTGTATTTCTTCGTTGTTGTGTTGCGGAAGCCATTGACTGTCATCAGTTTCTACACCCTGGAACCGTGAGTTATCTCCAATGCACACTTCCCTAGACAATCATTATTTTAGTGAATTTATGCATTGTATTATTGTATTAGTTTTGTTTCTTGTAATTATTTTGAGAAGTATAAAAGCCAGGAGCTTTAAATTGATATTTCGGTGTATGTTTATTTCATTTCCATTTGTTTTGTCTACTCCATCCTAGCAGTGAAAGAACATCAGTACGCAAGTCTTACACTGTGACACACATACAAGTAAGGAATGATAACAGTGTCATTCAAAATCAAAAACATTTATGCATATGCGTTCCGCAGCTGCACTACAATTTAAACTCGTGTCTTGTCGGCAACTGCACTGCTATCTGCTGCTACTGGTAGCACAGGTACAACGGGAGTAGTTCAGGCAGTGAGCTTCAGTGATTGACCCCTGGGTCAAATCTCATTTGCATATTGTAAGACAACGTGAGTTGATAAATAAAGATGGCTGCATAACTTAGTTGAATCTGTTGTTTGTGTTAAATCCGGCATTTAAACATCGGCTTCGAATATTGATATTGGTAGCATTCCGCCGTTTGACTGTAAAAGTGACCACACTAGCGTATCGACTAGATGGAAAAGGTGGAAGAAAGCGTTCGACTTCTATATCGTCGGAAAGGGTGTCAAAGATGACCAAAAGAGAGCCTTGCTGTTGCACTGTGCTGGCATGGACGTAGAGGACTGATTTGAGACACTTGTTGATCCCAGACCTGGAAACTTGCCTGAAGGACAACAAGACGATGCAGGTAATTACGAGAAAGCGTTACGAACATTGAACGCGTATTTAATACCTCAGCTAAATGCAATATATAAGAGACATGTGTTTCGTCAAATGAAATAAGAGGAGGGTAAGACTATGAATCAGTTCATTTCAGGACTGCAACGTCAAGCACAAAATTGTGAGCTCACAGATACTGATGAACAAATCAGAGATCAAGTGATAGATAAGTGCAAGTCGTCATTGTTGCGCCGTAGCTCCCAGAAAATAGAAAAACCATAACGCTAAAAGTGGTGTTTGATACAGCACGGGCCTTAGAAGTAGTTGATGTTCAATTAAAGACTATGGAAGGTGAATTTAAACGTGAAGTCAACTAAGTCCATATAGGCCAAAGGTCACAAAAGAAACCAGGCAGAGAGAAAAAGAAATGTTATCGTGGTAAAGAGGGACATTTCGCCAGAGATAGGAAATGCCCAGCAAGATCTGCGAACTGTAACAAAATAACTCAAATGACATCGGTGTGATTAGTGTCACGGTGGGTGGAGTAGTTATTTCAGACATGCTCATTGATTCTGGAGCAACATGTAATGTGATTTGTGAAACAACATGGTCTACCTTGAAACAAAAAAAACTGTCTGTCAAGCTTAGAGGTCAACACAGTTGCTGTATTCTTATGGAGCAGATAAGCCATTAAAAATTCCAAGCCACCGCTCAAGTTGCCAATAATATGACAAATGATGAATTTATCGTGTTTAAAGGTCGTTCAGTGTTGGGACGAAAAAAAACAGCACAAGAGCTCGGAGTGTTGAAGCTTGGACTACAGGCGAACATGATTGATACACAAAATGTGCATTATAAATTTCCTAAGTGCTTTAATGGGTTAGGAAAACTGAAAGATTACCACGCGAAGATCCATATTGATCCAGACATACCACCGGTGGCACAGAAACCACAGAGAACACCATTCAGCCTCAGATCAAAATAGAAGACAAGCTGACTGAATTCATTAAATTAGGTGTGATAGAGAAAGTAAATGGGCCCACACAATGGGTCAGCCCAGTTGTAGTAGTACCAAAACCATCTGGAGATGTCAGACTATGTGTAGATATGTGCCAGGCAAATCAGGCAGTAGTCTGAGAGAGACATACAATACATACCGTAGATGAAATATTAGAAAGCATGTACCAAAGTACGGGCTTTACAAGGTTAGACCCATGATCAAAGATTAATTGAAGTTCTGAAATGCTTTGAAGAAAAGAGTATGACACTGAATGCTGAGAAATGCGTATTTCGAATGTCTCAGTTAGAAGTATGCTGACTAGACATGGTATCCGTCCAACTACAGAAAAAGTAGAGGAAGTCTTAAATGCTCGTGCACCAGAAGTGAGGAGTTGTCTGGGATTGGTAAATTTCTCTGCCCGATACATATCAAACTTAGTCACAGTAACCGAGCCACTCCGCAAATTAACATGCAAAGAAACCAAATTTGAATGGCGAACCGAACAACAACAACAATCATTTGACCGCTAACAATCATTTGAACTCTTTGAACTCAGTGACTACAGATGCTAGTCCGATAGGACTAGGCTCAATCTTGATAAAGAAACAGAACGGTGAAAATATA